TTTTTTCAAGAACCTGAAGAATGGGCCGAACTTTCCAAGCCTTGTCTGTGGCTGCGGAGGGGGAAAGGTACTAGACCCTCACGCAGAGCATACTTCCACAAAGGCTTGGGACCTACACCACACAGGGTTAGAGGGAGTAGTTATTACTGCTAAACACAACGTACCGATAAAGTAATCAGTGCTAGCCTTGTAGTTGTCTAGCTTTCCTTTCACGCCAGGCTTGAGATACGCATGATCGGAGAGGAGGCCTGAAGGGGGTCTTGCCCGCCAACCAGCCTTTTTTTAGCGACCCCCACAGACGCTTGAACTCCTTCCTGTCGATCGTTTCCGGCATTTTTGGTTGAGTGGTGGAGATTTTGGGCAGAGAGGAGCTAAAGGGCTTGCATTAGAATTTTCAAACCTCTAGGCCGTTTATATCGGATTTTCTATGTGTTTCGTTTAATAATTTTCTATCTCCCCCTCGCCGATCGGTAATGATAAAAACTCCCATGGTGGTCTATACAAACTTATATATGCGGTGTAGTAGCCTGAACGACGCCGCGTCCAAGCTGTTGATTCATTTAAACCTGCATCATGTCATATTACGTATTATACAGATTACGGCGTTCATTGGGTTAAAGATATATATGACCTCAAATGATAGTGTCACTCGCAGCTATTAATAGTAGCAGATGAAACGCTGCCCATGTACTGCGGTGCTTCATCTGCTACTATTAATACTATGTACTACAGTAGTAGCTGCCGGTGACACTATTATTTGAGGTGAGATGTCGTTATCCCGTTATCCCGGCAGCGCTTCATCTGCTACATGTACAGTGTAATAGCTACCAGCTGAAGCCTTCAGCTGTAGAAAATACCGGGATTCTACGGAAGATGACGAAATGGGCACCTGGGACGATGGATCGAGTCGATACTTTTGCGTACGTCTGATAGCCTCCGCAGAAGCGGCCAGGGTGCACGCCAATTTTTCTACATACATTGGCATGCATCCTGGTCGCTCCAGTTCGCTTCACGAGCTCCAACTGGACCAGTAAAACGAAGATACCAGCTTCTGGAAAGGTACTGTGCCAGCTACGTGCCACTTTTGAAACTCCTAAATTTGAGTCAGCATAACTTTTCATCGAGATGCTTTATTTCATCTCAATAAATGCGCTCTTTTCGGGCAATTTTAATCAGAGAACTATATTATGCTGCCTACTCTGGGTCGCAAATGGCTTTGCTTTGAAAAATGTTCTCAGTTGCCGCCTCTTTTCGTCTAGAAATTTGAATGAGTGCATATCAATGGAGCAGATCAAATCGCATCGACAAAAACATATACTAATAGAAAATAAGAACAAACCCAAATTGTGCTCTCTAATTGACCAAAATTACTGACACGAAACTGATCGAGTGAGGAAAACCTCTTACGTACAGTGATACAATTGGTAAGCACGAATGTGTGACGTAGTGCAGAATGGTTAGATTGCTGTGATGTAGAAACCCCGTTAGTAGGGCTGCTGCTACAGCTTGTTGTACACCTTCTCCACTCCGCCCCGCGCCCTAGACGTGACAGGATCACACATCACCTAGGAAATTCTTCCCCAGTAGGGCGCCCCGCCCCTGCTGGTCTCCGGCGTTCCCCTATCCCCGGCTCCTGGTCTCTGCCAGCGATGCTTGGGGACGGGCTTGGGGGAAGTCCGCCTGCGTTGTCTGTCCGCGGGATAGTCGCGATTAAAGTGGCCCAGCTTTCCGCAGCCGAAGCAGCGAATGTCGCGCGGACCCGAGTTCCTTGGGAACTGGTCCGGTGAAGTTTGCTCGACCTGGATTCGACACAGAATTTCTCGGCCATGCTCAGGCCGGCGTGCGCGTCTGGCAATAGCTGTATTCCTCCTAAGCAGTCACTTGAATAGCCTCATCGCGGGTGCTTGACCGCACCCGGAACAACTGAGTGCTCGCCGGGCCCACTCGAAGGCCGTCCATGACCACAGTCACCTGGATGTGTTCGCTGAGTGAGCTGCCCATTAAACCGCCGTGAGCATCCGTATCTCTTGGACGTACTCGTGTAGTTCGCGCCTCACTTGTTTACGCGAGAGGAAGCGCAAACGTCGGCGGTACTCGTTGTTCGCCGGGAGGAACGCGGCTCGGAGCTGTTCACACAGCTGAGCCCAGGATGTGAAACATCCAGGGGATGTTGCTTCCCGTGTGTACACCCAGATCTTAGCACGGCCGCTAAGGTTGGAGAGTGCAAAAGCAACACGAAGTTGCTCGGTCGAGATCAGAGCCGCGTCCATCGCGAGCCCTACTGCTCGGGCCCAGAAGTGAAGGTTCTCGCCTTCCTTCCCTTCATACAGCTTCAATTTTAGCCGTATAGGCTTCGGGTGTGGCGGACTTGTTTCCGCCGCCGGAGCCTGCAGGTTTTTCCGCACATGTGTGATGAGTCCTTGCTCGTAAGCGTCAAACGCATTGACACGCCCGAGCTGCTCGGCCGGTGTTGACGCCACCAGGCTCTGCAGGGCCTCCATCCCGAAGATGCCTGCCATCCTCCGAGCCGACTCGAACAATGAGTCGTTCAGATGGGAGAAGTCGTTCCTATCCATGGCGACGAGCTTCATAGAGAACTCGATAGTCTACCCACGTTAGCGTGGATTGACTACAAGTGCGACTAAGTGTGACGGGGTCACATAGCACCTAGGAAGTTGGCTTCCGAGAGTATACAAACCCTCAGTGAGCAGAAGCTCACAGGTCCCTATTTGCTTAAGGGAGAGAAGTGACCAATTTAAGGTAAACTTTAACCTGAACATATTTATAGGTAGGCTAAGCCTGAGTTAAATATACAAACTATAAGTCATCACCTAGAGAAAAGCTATGTCATCAGCCAATGGCTGGCCTCGGACGACCCTGGTACCATGTACCAGATATCTCAAAGTGTGACGTGTCACACTTAATGTAAATAGGGGTACACTTGGGGTTACATACCCCGTTACATTCGAGCAGCACCTGGTACGCGTTGATCTGCTATACAAGTTACAATTCGACGGACGCAGAGCCCCGGTTTACTCGAGCTTCACGCTGAGGCACCAGGTGGTGCGAGCTAGCGCCATTTTTGCATCGAGGGCTGCGGTTCAGCAACGAAGAGCATGGACGCCAGCAATGAAGATCACACACAAAAAACGCTGCTTGTAGCAGCGAGAAGACGCACCGGGACACACGGTGCGTCTACATAGCGGCCTTTAAAGCGTAAGCTTACACATTTTCTTGGCAAAAAGCTGACGAGAAGGACCTTTCCAGCTCTTCACGATTACATTATCATTACCACGCACGGCGCGTGCGCGCCAATACTGTGACTATTGTGTGTTTGATGAGTAGTTTGTAGTGAGGCACATGTTACCCGAAAGGCTTGAACGAAACCAGAGAGACCGCGGAGCCTTTTGAAGGCTTGCGCTAGTGTTAGCGGCGCCAAACACTGCGGTGCGTCTGTCAAATACAATGTCCCATGGTATGATGGCTACAGTAGCGCCTTGGGAGGTATTGGTAACCACAAAATGCCGTCCACAAAGTCTTACGACACCTATCCACGTACTTGGTAGATGCATTTGGTAGTGTATTAACACCTTTTAGTGAGACCGAGGTCAATCGCTAAAACACCTACACTATACAGTGGTGCTGCTGAAATACATGTAGCTCCGAGGCGCTAGTGTCAAATCACTGTCCCACTGAGCAGCGTTGACGCACATCCGGCTGATAGTAAACATGATCCTTGTGCTCCACAATGAAGATCTATTTCTGCCGGTGGTTTCTCATCTTCATTGCCATAGATGGAGAGGTATTAGCACAGTGGTGCTGCACCGCATGTGAAAGGAGCGAACATGGAGGCCGACCGCAAGTGAGCGTGGTGGTGCTTAGTTTGTCGACCATTTTTAAAAATTAGCAGTTACGGATGCCACATAATGAAAGATATATCGAGGTAGAGCTTTGTTTTTAGAGTGGTGTGGGGATTCTCACCAACTTAGCGTTACCTTGTGAGTGTTGCGAGCTTTTGCTCGGCATAATATCACATATCCGGATATGGGTTGGCTGCCTACAAGGTTTTCACTCGCGAGTTTGGCTTCACGCTGCTGTTTTATAGTCTTTTCGTGTGGCTCGCGCTCCTTTGACAGGCTTCACGCACTTCAATCTCGAGCTTTTTCGATATTTGTGAATGCTAGGATGAATCAACGCCGAGCTGGCGGCATACACTAAAGCTTAACGCCGTGCGCACACGTGAAAAGGGTCTTGCCTTGCCTTGCAAATGCCTCCAGATACTTGTGGTGTCGCTAGGATAGCCAATGTAGCACTTAAGATTCACATCTTGTCCGATCGATCACGGCCGTGACCAATACTTGGCGGCTGGTATCAATAAATTGCTTTCGTTCGCCTTAAGCTTAGCGCGAGGGCATGACAGATGCTGTGTCAGTGTTAAGAGTCCTGGCACTAAGCCAACACCTACGATCTGTACAATGCAACCCATTCAAATTGCCCGTTTCACTCCGATTCCACAGCATTCGTAAGGCTGGAAATCGTCGTTCAACCGCGTAAAGGGCCTCGGCCGCGGTCATACAAGCTATGGTGAGCCTCAAGACTCCATGTTGCTGCAAAAAAGATCGCGTGTGCGAATTGCAGTAGGATATGGGCTAGATTCTGCTCGCTTTTTTGTCGCTGCCAAATAATGAAGTGACCTTGTACAACAGACGTCAATACAAACATTTAACTACTTGAATTGGTACTAGAGAACTTTAGTTTCTGGAATAAACTTTACTGGAATATGGGACCAGTTTTTTGCTCGAGTGATATTCCAAAGGTACACTTTGAAGTTTAGGCAGGTTGCCGTACACTGTGCCATAGCCGTAGAGGCTAGGGTAAGAAACTACAAAATTGAACAGGGGAGAAATGCGATGCCGACGAGAAGGAAGCGCGCTTCCGCATCTTAGCGCTGTACGCGATGGGATATGAAGCCGAAGCCGCCGCGCTGTACGCAGCAGAGTTCATGCATCACCAGGACCTGTCATGGCAACCTTTTTGGGCTTGGATTCGGTGCGCTTGCTTTGTACCAAGGGTCCATCGTCCTTCTTCTGAACGTAAACCTCCACCAAGCGCTCCAGCTCGTTTTCGTCGACAGACTTATGTGGTTCTTGGCCTTCGGTATACATAGGTATAGTCTACACACAACCAGCGAACAAAATTCCGTAGCATAAGTCATACCTGACATGGCTCGCTCCTTTGCGCGCTTCGATCGGTACTCTTTTTTTCAACTTATCAACGTGCTTGCGTACACCGCCAGCAGACAGCTCCTTGCTCAGCGCTGAGCCCAGACGCTCCGTACTTTCGACCCACCGCTCCGGCTTCGAGGCGCTATGAAGCTAGAAGATCCCGTCATCACCAACCACCTCGTTCATGAGCATGCAGTCTGCTTTCACCGAGTACGTGATGCGCTTTTTGCGAGCTTTCTCGCTCTTGTTTACTTGACACAGTCGCTTGAGCAGAGGGTCTCGTCTTCGCCTCCACCACTGCGTACGGGTGGCGCTGCCACAACTTGCAAGACTTGTGGCTCGTCACCGTCCAACTCGACGTCTGACTGCATTATCGTAGTAGTTAGCGACACGTTGTCCGGTGACACCTTCAGAATGAACACGTACTGTAGTCTCTGAAGGTATCCAGGTAAGGAGCTGATTAGCGCGTTTGTCCAATGCTCTGGGGCTTCTGTCGGCTTTTACCTGGAGTCGCGCGGGGTCGTGGCTGGCGCCGAGATTTTGCAGGTTGGTTGACTCCCTTTGCCCAAGGTTGCCGCACGCAATTGGTGCAATATCACCTAGACTGACGTCGAGTTTATCGGGTTATAGGGTTTTACAGGAATCCGCTGAGCTATGGCACTGGAATATCTCGACTCTCCTGTATTCCACTGGAACAAGCTTTTGGTATATACATATGCAAGTTACGTTTTAAGTACGATTTTATTGCAACATTTTATTCCAAGGTGACGATATATTCCAGAAACTAAAGTTCTCTACTGACGTGCGGTGGAGTGGTTGTATTTGAACGGATACATAGGAATTATTGTAAGCAGTAACGTTTTTATTGAAGGGCAAAGATCCATAGATAAGCTCGCTTCAGTTTTGAAATAGCCGGAAATGAATAAGCTTGTGGACAATATTTGATGCTGTAACAAGATCTCCTGTAGTGGGCCACACCATTACGTTAGTAGGTAGATTAATATTACAAAAGTAGGTGCAGTAGCACACGGCTAGCGTGTGCTGAACTGCCGTCATCCTATTTGGTTGATATATGGGGAGCCATACCTATTATCAACCAATAAGGAGTTGACGTGTATTTGAGTGGTCAGGGCAAGCTGCCCTGGACCTAAATAAAAACAGAGTTGATTTTCCTTCAGACTAAGCACTTGGTTTCACTATCGTGGAACTTGTACGCTTCCTCATTGCTACGTGTAAGCTAGTAACGGACACTCTAGGCCCATTACACCTCGTAGCACTATGTAGTCCTTCCCATGACCAAGTTCACAATGAGCCAGGGTCAGACGTCTGAAGCTTCAGGGCCAACCCTGGAGCATGCTAGTTTCCCTCATCTCACTCGTGTCGAGTGGGAAGCCTTTTACCGCCTTGCAACGGTGTCCGATGAGGCTGTTGTCGCGTCGCTGCTAAGCTCAGCGACTCCCGATCAACATTGTCAAGCAGCCCAAGAGTTCATAGAACGCGAGCTCGCCGACGCGAATCGGCGAGCGACAACTCCCCCACGTTCCTCGAAGAATGACATCGTCAAGTTGGAGACGCCAACCTACTCCGGTGAAGGAGCGAATCGCCTTCCGTTGAATCGCTGGTTTCGCGAAATCGACATCGCTATCGCTTCGAGGATGATCGAGGCGCAAGGAGCGAAAGTTAACTTCTTACTTTCCCGACTGGCCGGGAAAGCCAAGGCGGGGGCGCTCGGCAAACTGGTCGTCAACAACGATGCGTTCTCCACCCTGGAGGCCCTCCATAGTGATCTTCGTCTCGCCTTCTAGCCTCGACAAGACGTGTTCCGATTGCGCGCAGAGTTCTTAGCTCTGCGACAAGGCAAGATGACCATGCGCGACTACGTCCAGAAGACACGCCACCTCGCCTCCTCCATCATCACCAATCCGATTGACATGGCATCTCAAGTCCACGTCTTCGTGTTCGGCATGCGTGAAGGCATGACGCGATACTGTCTGACTCGAGCGGAACCCTCCTCTCTCGAGGAGGCATTTGCTCTCGCACTTCGTGAAGACTACGTGGTGGCGACGTCGTACCCGTGGGAAATGTCCGCGGAAGCTCCTGAGTCAGCTCCGGAGCCGATGAAGATCGACGCGATTGACGCGTCGAGCAACCGCCGTCGTGCGGCCCCTCGTGAGAATGGTGGTCGTCCCAGTTGATCCATCACTTGCTTCCGCTGTCGGAAGGTTGGACATCGCGCGGCTGAGTGCCGCGCACCCGCGCCAGGGCTCGCGCATACTGTCGACGCATCTCCTACCGCTCAGCCAAACAAAACAGTCAGGGCCAGTACGTGGGGGGCGCCCTACTGTCTGGAATGAACGTCCGGGTCCCTCGGTGGCAACCCAACCTTCTAGCCCTCGTGTGCTACACACACACTTCAATGCCACCACAGCGTCGGGCGACTCAAGACTGATCATCATCAGCCTCCATGTCGCCGGCGCCCGACGTCCACTACGCGCGCTTGTGGACTCAGGAGCGTCAAACAACTTCTTCCGTGAGTCGTGTTTGTCGACGCTACCCAGCGAAATCGCTGTCCGCAATGGTCGCGGACAGGTGGTAGTCAAGCTTGCTGACGGGAAGCCGCGCCACGTCGCTCGGCGCGAGATTACGTTGCCGTACACGCTCGACGGCTTTCGCAGCAATGACGACTTCCTCGTGATTGAGATGAACTACGCGTTTGATTGCATCCTGGGTATCCCGTGGTTGTCACGGTGTCAACCAGAGATTGACTGGTTGGACCGCTCGGCTAAACACCGCAGCGGTTTCGACGTGAGCGAGGTGTTCACCCACCTCCTGGTTGCCTAGAAGGACTGACCCCACGTCACCATCGTGGACCGGTCGTCTACGACGCAGGCTGTACACAGAGTGAGCGAAGGCCCTCTCTGCACGGCTTGCGCAGTGCTATTTCACGAAGACCCTCGCGGCGAGGCGAGGACAAGAACACGATGGCGGTCGAGCAGGGGCTCCCGCAATACGAGCAAGCGGTCGAGCATGGGTTCCCGCAGCGCACAACTGCGGTCGAGCATGGGCTCCCGCAATGCAACACGGCGGTCGAGCAGTCGAGGCTCCCGTCACCCGAGCCGGTGGTCGAGCAGTTGGAGCTCCCGCCGAACGATCACGCGGTCGAGCAGTGCCCCCCGCATGTGACCGGCACAGTCGAGAGTGAGCTCCAGTGCCTAGCGTAAGGTGATACATCGTCCAGCGAGAGCGATTCTTCCTTCTCGAGTACACACTCGAGGCGCCGGGCAAAGAAGTCGAAGCGCCGTCGTTAACGTGGCAGTGACCGCTGCCGCGAGACCAAGTCAAGGCCATCGACGACTTCTTAGCAGGTCACGTTCGTGAGAGTGTCTCTCCACACGCGAGCCCAACGTTCTATGTGAAGAAGGCCACAGGCGGATGGCGCATCGTTCATGCCTTTAACAAGTTGAACGATGCGACCATCCCTGCGCAAACCTCAATTCCCCGGAAGGACGTGGTGCTTGACACCATGTCGGGCAGTGTCGTCTTCAGCGCCATCGACTTGACCGACGAATTCTATCAGATCTTGATGAGACCGAGCGACATTCCGCTGACAACGGTCAGCACCCCCAGCGGTATGCTCTGGGGGTGGCTTGTGATTTCACCAGGCTTGAAAAATGCACCCGCCACGTTCAATCGCATGGTCTCCCATGTGCTGCGTCCGCTTCGAGACTTCGCACCGAGCTACTTCAACGACATCTTCGTGCACAGCCGCACTATGGGTGGTCTCAGCGCGATAGAAGTCCACTTGAAGCACTTAAAACAGGTCTTCCAAGTGATGCGCGAGAACAAGTTGTACGCGAGCCTGAAGAAGTGTATCTTCTGCGCGCCGGAGATTCCGGTGCTGGGCTGCTTCGTGGGCAAGGACGGCGTTCGCGCCGACCCGGAGAAGGTGTCCCATATATGCGCATGACCGACACCAAAGAACCCCACTGAGTTGCGTCAGTGGTTGGGACTAGCGAATTATCTCCACGAGTACACGAAGGATTACGCCGGACTGATCTAGACCCTCTCATCACGCCTGAAGAAAGATGCCACATGGGTCTGGTCACCCGAGCACCAAGCCGCCTTCGACTCAGTGAAGAAGAGCCTTGCTGAGGCGCCGATCCTAGCTCTTTCCGACGACTCACAACCATATCACGTCGTTTGCGACGCGAGCGACTTTGTTATCGGCTGTGCGCTGATGCAGTTTGACTACGAAGGTCGTGAACGAGTCGTGAGCTATCCGTCTCGACAGATGAAGCCAGCGGAGCGCAATGATCCTGTCCACGACAAGGAGCTTCTCGCGATGCGCTACGCTCTGATCAAACTCAGAGTGTACTTACTCGGCGAGCAAACCTTCGCAGTGTATACCGATCACGCATCGCTGAGGACAGCGATGAAGATCCCTCATCTTTTCCAGCGAATGGCTCGCTCATTGTCGCTCTTCTCCGAGAATAACTTCGTGGTTCACTACAAACCCGGCAAGAACAACATCCTTGCGGATGCTCTGTCTCGTCGTCCAGATTACGACCAAAGCGATTCGCTGGGTCGACAGCCGCTGCATGATGAAGACAGCGAAGGCAACTGTGTTATGTGCTTGGCGTCGGGATTGAACCCGACGAGCGTGTCTCCTGAAAACCCACTCCGCGACGAAATCCGGACTGCGTATGAGTTCGATCCGGTCTATTCGAGTATTCAGGAACACCTCCTCTCGCCCAGTGAGAAGCCACTGAGTGCTTTGGCCAGCTCCACACGCCATCAGATCGATAGGTACCGGATTTAAGACGGGCTGTTAACGTACAGCATCGATCGCTTCGATGCTTCGAGTGAAGTGGTCCCCAACGACCCTGACTTGCGCTCACGGATCGTCTATGAGCTCCACGATATCCCGCTTGGCGCTCACTTGGGCCGTGAGAAGACATTCGCCGCGGTGTCGCGCGACTTTTTGTGGTTCCACATGTATAAGCGGGTGCGCAAGTGGGTGAGGACCTGCGAGATCTGCCAACGCGTGAAACCGTCCGCGTCGTCGCAGGCTCCCCTGCGTCCCTTACCTGGGGCCATCGAGGCATGGCGCTTGGTGTCAATGAACTTCATCTTTAGCCTTCCACCCGACTCCGCCGGGCAGTCCGATGTCCTGGTATTCGTCGACAGGTTTAGCAAGATCGAGCTATCAGGGACAAAGCTGCTGATGTCGACGGCTGCTCATCCGGAGACGGATGGCCAAACTGAGCGAGTTAATCGCGTCCTTGAAGACGTACTTCGCAGTTACGCGACGTCGTTCACGAGCTGGAGCTCGTTCCTTCCCCTTGCTGAGTTCGCGCTGACAACGCGGATCACGCGTCGTCTGGCCTGACTCCTTTCTTCGTCAACAACGCTCGGCACCCTCGTGTTCCAGCTCTCCTCGCCGTGGGCCGTCCCACGGCCGTGTGGCTCCACTCTGGGTGGTGGTGAAAGTGGCGACAACCATTTTGTGACGACCCCGGTTTCGAACCAACAATCGGTTACCATACCGGTTGCCAACAAGCCTTCTGCGCCAACACCGGTAATGGATCCTCAACCGGTTGCCATACCGGTTGCCGACTCCTCCTCGAGTGCAGCCTCACCTTCAGCGAGTGACACACGCACAGGCCAGGAAGGCCCTGACGACACCCCGCGACGCGGTGTCCCCTCTCGCCTCGTGGATGAATCGTGCCCTGATCAGTCCTGGCACCGCTAACGTGGTGTCTCCATCAGCGAACTACGCGCCAAAGCAACCGGCACGCCCGGCTGACAACACCGCTGTCTCGGACTTCCTCCGCCA